TTTAGTTCATTTTAGTCATCAGTGGATTAGGCCTACTGGGGATACCACTTTAAAAAAAACGCGTCAACAATAGTACCTCATGGGTGACGCGGAAAGCTATTGCCATATGCCCGTTACTGAGCGCCGAGCGGCTCGTAGGCTTCGCGCGGGACGGCGAGGTAAGGGGGAACGCGATAGGCGGAGCCAGCTGAAAATCGGCCGAAATGTGCAGTTCTTGCCGAGCTCTGTTCTAAATAAATATAACATACATACTTAGTATTCTGTACAGTTAATGTATGTACATATAATAATATATATATACATATGAACAGATAATGTATATACATATGAATATATACGTGAAAATATCGTAATTGAGAGAACTATAATTACAATAGTCTGTCCTGAAAGAATACTGAGTATGTATGTAATATTTATTCAAAAAAACATATATTTAAAACTGTACGTTGACATAAATTTTTAAAAGATGATTCCTTATGAAAAATAATAATGCAAATCTTTTATGATTTTCTAAAAACTAAATTTTCAAAGCATTTTTAAACTAATATATTTAATTATAAAAAAAATATAAAAAAATTGTCTTAAAGTTTTATGAATTGCAATTATATTCTTTATATTCTTTTTAATTCTTAGAATTCATAATATTAAATTTTCCTTCCAAATAAACTCAAAAAATACGTTTAATAAAAAAAATTAGTATTAACACCGTTTGAAATATACCTGAAAAACATTTACATAAAAACGTTTAATTTGAGATTTAAAATATCCCTTAAAAATATATTGAGATAAAATGTTGTAAAAGTGCATAAAAGGTTACACCTTACCGGTTTTATCCGCTTGAATATGTTATGGAGGAGATTGTCCTGAGTAATTCCCCGCAAAAAATAAGTGGGGGACGGCATTAATTTAGAAGATACAACAAGTTAAAGTTTGACAATTTTAACGCTTCTTATAGGTATTATAGACTATTATTAAGAACGTTATATGTATACAGGATGGGGAAAAAAGGTTAGAACCTTAAAATATCTCGAAAAATATAAGTTTTATAGAAAATTGTTTCAGATAAATGTGGTAAGGTTCTTATAAAAAATATTTACTGATCTTATCAATTTGACCTAGAGTTAAATTGTCAAGGTCAGGACAAGATCACCTTGAATATTTTAAATGGAACCCCCTATTTTTTATTGCATATTCTTATAGCTTATTTCGAGAGCTTTCCAAAACACTATAACTAAGTTAGTTTTTATTCAGTACTTTTTGAGTTATGAGGCTTGACATAATTTCTCAATTTTACATAAATCATAAAATATCTCGTAAACTATTCACTGTTCGATAATCTTACCTTAATACTATTAGGCACAAAATAATGAGAGGAATCCACTGGTGTAAAAAAATACATAGTTATCTTTAAGAAAAAAATATGTAACTGTTAATTGCAAATTACATAATTTTTGACCGTACAGTTATAGAAGATGTCAAATAGATCAGTAGGATGTACACAAACCTTATAAACGTATACAATGTTCTTTATGCCTAGAACAGCCTATAATGCTTAAGAAAAGCGTTAAAATTGTCAAACTTTAACTTGTTATATTTTCTAAATTAATGCCGTCCCCCACTTATTTTTTGCGGGGAATTACTCAGGACAACCTCCTTTATAACATATCCAAACGGCGATAAAATCGGTGAGGTGTAATTTTATGCACTTTTACTAAAATGTTTAATTTGAGAACATTTCTGTAGATCAATTGTATAATTTAAAGACAGTTTCCAACGAACATCTTTGTTTCAAAATATATACAAATATATACAAAAATATACAAATACTACAAAATTGTTAATATTTTATTTATCATTCTGTAAACAAGGTTTCCGATATGTTGTTCGTAAGATGCGACTAAATGTATAAAAGAAAAAAATATCTTAAAACATGTTCTTTTGTATATACAAGGTGATGATATAAATAATTCATCGAAATCTATTCACCGAAAATCTATAAGTAGATCTCGTGAGATGTAAAATTAAATAAAAAAGTCCGATGTTATTTTGTAAATAACCACACAAAATTTTGAGATACTTATTTTAAAAAATTTGCCAAAGTATAAACGCGCGGCGACGAGAGTCATAACATAGTAATCTGATACTATCCGCGCAGAGGAGCGCTGAGCTGTCATTAAACATGTCACGCTGTTTTGCCACGAGCCGTTATCATGGTTTAGAGATCTTTAACGGACTTGCACTGAATCTCTGTCTCTCTACAGCGATAGACTGAACCTCTTACATTCCACTATTGTATATTACTTAAGATCTTCTTTAATTAATATCTCGTGAAATTTTACGTGATTGTTTACAAAATGGTAAATGACATTTTAATTCAGTTTAACGAGAACTTACATATTTTTGGTGGAGACTTTATTTCAGACACCTTGTATATAGAATATTCGGATAACTAAAACGTCTCTGTTACGTATAATAGATTAAACCGAATAGAAAAATCCTTCGTTTTGTGATTCTCGAAATAATTCATAAGAAATTAATTTAAAAAATTTGACTTATTTACTCGAGTATAGGCGCGTGGAGAGATGAGAAAGTCGTTTTTGTCGTATGATCGTCAAGATGCAAGGCGTCCAGCTATTAGAACTTTCAACGAAGACATTTGTTGGGGACTCTCAAACTATACAGTCGACATATGCAACAATATCTTCAAATTAAATATTTTACCTCAATACTTATAAGATATGTTTCCTATCTCAAAATAAGCGTTTTATCCCAAAGTTTTTCAGGCGTATTTTAAACCAATTTGGTATTAATTTCTTTCGTTGAACGTATTTTTTGAGTCCACTTTAAAAAAAATTAAATATTGTGAATTCCTAATTGAGATGAATAAAAGTTTAAGACAATTTTTTTCTTTATGATTAAAAATATATTATTTACAAATATTTAGAAATATATAATTCTCAGAAAATCATTAAATAAAATTTGTATTATTATTTTTATGAAGAGCTGCCTTTAAAGAATTCATTACATGTCAGAGTAGAATTTTGAAATATATGTTTTAAATAAAAATAATATATATACTTAGTATTCTTTATACAGTTAATGTATATACATTAGATAATATATATACATATGAACACAGATAATGTATATACATATGAATGTATACGTGAAAAGTATCGCAATTTAAAAGATAATCTTTATGAAAAATAATAATACAAATCTTTCAAGATTTTCAAATAAATTTTTAAAGCATTTTTAAACCAATTCATTTAATTATAAAAAAAATTATATAAAAGTTGTCTTAAAGATTTATTAATCGCAATTAAAAATTCACAATATTAAATTTTTTCTCCAAATAGACTCAAAAAATACGTTCAACAAAAGAAATTAGTATTAACACAGTTTGAAATATACCGGAAAAACATTTGCTTAAAACATTTAATTTGAGATTTAAAATATTCTTTGAAAGTATATTGAGTATATTAAAATGTATATTAAAATGTTTAATTTGAGGACATTCTGTAGATCAATTGTATAATTTAAAGACAGTTTCAATCAATATTTTTGTTTCAAAGTATATAAATACTACAAAATTGATATTTTATTTATTACTCTGTGAACAATGTTTCCGATATGTTGTTCTTAAGATGCGACTAAATGTATAAGAGAAAAAAATATCTTAAAACATATTCTTTTGTATATACAAGATGTATGATATAAATAATTCATCGAAATCTATTCATCGAAAATCTATAACTAGATCTTGTGAGGTGTAAATCTAAATCAAAAAGTCCTATATCATTTTGTAAATCACGCAAAATTTTTGAGATATTTATTTTAAAAAATTTGCCAAAGTATAAGCGCGCGGTGACGAAAGCCGTAACATTGTAACCTGATATTATGCTCGCAGAAAAGCGGTGAGAAGAGCTCTCACTAAACATATCACGTTGAAGCGGCGCTATTGTAGCTTTTAGGTTTTCTTTAATTAATTTCTCGAAATTTTACGTGATTGATGCAAAATGATATAAGACTTTTTAGTTTAGTCTTAACGACATCTTACTTAATATACTTGTATATTTTCGGTGAAGACCTTATGTCAGACAACTTGTATATAGAATGTTCAGATATCTGAATTATCTTTCCTATGTAAATCATAGCGATCATGCAATAACGGACTTTTTTATCTCTTCACGTGTTTATACTCGCGCAAATAGGTCAAACGTTTAAAATTAGTTTCTTATCAATTCCCAGAAAACAATATGTAATCAAAAAGATTTCTAAAAGATATCTTATTTCTGAATCTGATAACTTAAAAAGACTTCTAAAAGATCATATAAAGATATTAGAATGTTATCTAATGCGCCGTTTTTTGAAGACAGAAAGATATCACGAAAATGATGTCAAAAAGATTTCTTAAAATGAACGTCTTTAAGATATCTAAATTATGTCAACATATAGAGTTCTTATTTATGATGTCTAAAAGAGATCTGACATATGTTAACATATGAATTTCTGATTCCAGATAGAATTCTATTTTTAATTTTATGCGTCATATGTTTTAATGTATACGCTTATTCCGATATATATTTTATTTTGTATGTATTTTACGTTATATTTAAATATTTTCTGTATTACACGATACATAAAATTTATAACTAGAATTCTGTCTTGAATTATTATTATAGATTGTGTAAAATAAGTATTAGGGAATAAATCATCTTAAACATTTTTATATTTATTATTTTTATTATTGCACAAAAATAAAAAAAATAAACACAAAATAAAAATCGATTTAAAAAACTTAATATTTTTAATAATAAACTTAATATTTTTAATAATACTTAATATCTTTAATAATATATTAAATATTTTAATATTTAATATATTTTTCAAAATCAGGAACGAGGAGACATTATAAACTTTAAAATATGAAAGAAAACAATTGCTTAACACAAAAATAGTTTCTAATAACAGAATTGATAAAACCCTTCTGAAAAAAATTCTGGATACGTCCATGTCATAATTATATTAAGTTATTATTATTATTATATTATATATTATTATAAAAGTATTAATCATCCACTGACTCATTTTGAATTTCTTCTTTTTGTCTTCGATTTATTCGATCGCCGGCATGTTGCAACCATGATTTTAATACTTTTTGCACATTGGCGATAGAAATATTCCGATCAGTAACGAGAGTTTCTGAAAAAAATTTCAATATGTTTTAACAATTCGTTCGTGAACAAAATTTTAGCAGAAATTTTATTAAATTCTGTGGGTCTCTTTTTTTATAATTAAACCCTTTACACTATTCATTTCTGTCTTTCTTATTGTAAAAGAAAGACAAAAGAAAATTAGCGCAAAGTACAGCTAAACAGACATCGACGTTATATTTAGCTGTACTTTGCAGACTTTTGTGCTTGTAAAACATGGGTTTAATGAGAACGCAAATAATACCGGTCTTGCAGTTAAACTGTGATCAATTTTGTTAGTAATTTGTTGTTATTTTGCTAACATTTTATTAATGGAACAAACAAATTACTAAAAATGTATTGATTTAGTCATACAGAACATAAATATAAAACATTTGAAATAAAAAACGTTATATACGATATTATAAGTAGATTATAAGAAACTAACATATATATGTACGTACAATTAATACGATCAAAAGTGATAAGAAGATTAGAATAATATGAAAACGTCTAAAATGTTTAAAAAAGTTGATAAAAACTATATATGTGATTTGATAGAATAATTTTTAAGTTATTATTGATAATAGTTAAAATAAATCGGCAGATAATAAATGTTTACAACTTTTTATCTTTTTATATTATAATTATCAAACTCGATAAAACATATTCGTAAATTACTATAAACATTGGTTATTGTGTTCCAAAATTCAATGTCAGTGCTAAAAATCTATAGTACACGTGTGTGTGTGTGTGTGTGTGGTGTGTGTGTGTGTGTTGTGTGTGTGTGTGTGTGTGTGTGTGTGTGTGTGTGTGTTGGTGTGTGTGTGGTGTGTGTGTTGTGTGTGTGTGTGTGTGTGTGTGTGTGTGTTGTGTGTGTGTGGTGTGTGGTGTGTGTGTGTGTGTGTGGTGTGTGTGTGTGTGTGTGTGTGTGTGTGTTGTGTGTGTGTGTGTGTGTGTGTGTGTGTGTGTGTGTGTGGTGTGTGTGTGTGTGTGTGTGTGTGTGTGTGGTGTTGTGTGTGTGTGTGTGTGTGTGTGTGTGGTGGTGTGTGTGTGGTGTGTGTGTGTGTGTGTGTGTGTGTGTGTGTGTGTGTGTGTGTGTGTGTGTGTGTGTGTGTGTGTGTGTGTGTGTGTGTGTGTGTGTGTGTGTGTGTGTGTGTGTGTGTGGTGTGTGTGTGTGTGTGTGTGTGTGTGTGTGTGTGTGTGTGTGTGTGTGTGGTGTGTGTGTGTGTGTGTGTGTTGTGTGTGTGTGTGTGTGTGTGTGTGGTGTGTGTGTGTGTGTGTGTGTGTGTGTGTGTGTGGTGTGTGGTGTGTGCGTGTGTGCGTGTGTGCGTGTGTGTGCGTGTGTGGTGTGTGCGTGTGTGCGTGTGTGGTGGTGCGTGTGTGCGTGTGTGCGTGTGTGCGTGTGTGTGTGTGTGTGTGTGTGTGTGTGTGTGTATGCGTGTAATGTAAACTAGATTTTTAGCACCGGCAATGAATTTTGAAATTTAGCCATTGTAACTGTACGTGATAGAGTAATATGAAAAAAAGTAATAAAGGAATATATTCATATATAAATAAAAATATGTCAAACTATATTTTTTCTTATATTGAAATTATAAAGAATTTTTTCTTCTTTTCACACAAATGAAATGTGTGTTTTAATAGAACATAAAACTGAAATAATTTTAGAAAATTGTCATTGTAAAAATGGAGTGTAAACAAAAAATTATTTTAATATTTCCAGAAAAAGAAATAGGAAATGAACCATACCAATAATGAGATTGATGAATTTCATGTTCTGAGTTTCAATCTTATTTTTTTTTATTAGTCCAAGTCATTTGGTAAGCTAACGTATCAGCTATTGTTAAACGCATCGCGTTTCGTACATGTTTATGTGGGGTTATACCTCCTATTGTCCGAATCATTCTTTGCTGTAAAAAATATAAAATATGCTTGTGTTGCAATTTATTATTATTATCTTGGTAGTATCGATTATTTTTAACTATATTCTTTACTACTATATTTACTACTATTAAACTGGCACATTTATAAATAAAAATCACAAAAAGGTAGTAATCAGCATTTCCTTAGAAATTATTTTTATATTAGTTCTTCTATTTTAAATTTTTGTACGTTTTGGTATCAAATTTTTTCAAAGCAATATTCTTATATTATGACATAAAATTCTTATTGATTTTTAAAATAGTACAAAAACAACAGCATTTAAAACAATAAAATTTTAATTTAAAACATTAGTTTTACTCTTAATACTTTTATCATACGCTATTACTGTCGCTTGTACAAAATTAAAGAATTTTACACGTAAAATAATGAATGTGCAAAATTGTTAAAAACTGTTACGTTTGTATACATGTTTTCAAATATAAAAAAGTCCACATGAAAAAAGATTAGAAAAATTGTGAAAAGAGAGAGAATTTTTTAAAATCTTTAAAAAAATCTTATATCTTTGTTTATAGAATATATGTAGAATATAGAATATGTTCTTTTCATTTCAATATATATATATATATATATATATATATATATATATATATTTTTTTTTTTTTTTTTAAACACTATTCAATTGTTTTATATTTTTGTTTTCGATATTTTTATCATGTTGCATGTCTTGTAATTTAGAAAGATATTTCCATTTAACTTTAATGTTTTTATTAATAAACAATACTTACATATTACAATCGAGTAGTACAATCTTCACAAAGTCTTTTATTAAATTCATCTAATTTCTTAACATTAAAAATCGGCAAATCCAAATCAATATTTTCTCCTTGTAACTGGTGTGGATTTGAATCTAAAAGTATTTGTCGTATTCCTATCACAGTACGTAAAATCGTTGAAATATCGTTCCGACAAACTCCTATTTAGAAACAATTGCAATATAAATAATGATATAAGTAATGATAAGTAATTTGTCTTTCGGTTTATAAGTAATGATCGAGTTCACAATTGTTAGGAAATAATTCTGCTATTTCTACTAGTAAATGTATGATTGCTAATATATAATACATTAATTACATTTGCAAAAGTGATATTTAACATCCTTTAGGATGTTATTCTAATAAACAAGTATAATTGTATTTTCCGTTATCATTATTATTTGATATACATGCATTGTTTATTATAATCAATTTCGATTAGTTGATCAAAATTTGAAGATAGTTAATATTTCAGAAGTATTATTTTGTTTTCAAGATTTTTGTGAAAAATTTTCATTTTATCATTTGATCATTACATAATATAAATAAGATAATATAATCCATATAATGGAGAAAAACAGAAATTAATGTTGTGATAAAACCATGTTTTGATATTTATTATCTAATTATTATGGATCAATCATTTATTATTGATAATAATAATAATAGTTTTTAAAATAGAATAACTGACACATCACAATAATAAAAATAAATTTAAAGAAAAATACTGTGAGATTATAAAAGAGAGTTATGACATTAATTTTTAGTTTTTGTTTTATCGAATATAAGTGGGTTTTTACTTTATTGAAACTTACTGCAACATTCTTGATGATTATCTATTTTTTGCTTTTGGCTGGTATTTTGTGATGTCTGCATTTCATGATGACTGCCTGATTTTTGTTCCTTGTCTGTTTCTGTATTTCGATCATTTAGCTGTAATTTTTGGATATTATTTTCACTATTCCATGATTGATTCTTGCCATTTTTTTTATTATGTAAGATTCCAACAAGTAATGGTATATCTGTTTAAAAATAAGATTAAAATAAGATTTAAGTAGATTAAAAATTTATTATAAAATAAAATGTTATAGAAATAAAATATTATAGAAAGAATATATAAATATTCTAGAAAGAAAAGAATAAGCATATGTACAACGAAAGGTACAATTTTATATTTTACATATAAAAAACTCACTTGTTACAACAATATTTTTGATTGTTGGTTTTTCTGACACTTTTGATTTTGATTCAGTTTTCGTGATGCATAAAGGATCTGTAATAACAATATAAAATAAGATATAACAAAAAAGATTATTATTTTATGAATAATTTAAATAATTAATAAAACGAATATTCATTACATTTATTAGTTTTAATCTGAACAATTGAAATATTCAACAATATAAAAAAATAAATAAGGCTGGTATATGTTTAAGCAAATAGAATAAAATAAAGCTCAACAAACTGTAAAGTTAAGGGATGACTAAATAATTTAATTTACATTTTCTTTGATTTAAAAAGATTAAGTAAAGTCGAAATGTCTCTTATTTATATTATTGTATTATCACTGATGTAAATTAAGTTATATAATCATACCGAATGATTTTATAGTTTGCTCGATTTTTGACCTTAATTTTATTTTATTTGTTTCATACATTCAATTTATAATAAACGTGAATTTACATCGAAAATAGTTTCTTTTTTATAATTTGTTCTATGCAACTGATAAAAAATTTATTAACTTAAAATATAAAATGTTATAAAAACTTTATACCTTCATGTGTAAGTATATCAGCCTGTAATTCTAAAGAAATATCTTTTCGAATAAAGTGAAAAAGAAAATAAATTCGTCTTTCTCAAAAATTTGTTCCTTAGTGCAATCTAGTAATCTACAAAAATTTTATATTATGAAATAGAAAATATTTATTTTTATTTCTAATATTTTTAATATTTTTTATAAAATATACATCACCATTTTCATTCCATGATTCTTTAATCGACGTATGACAAAATTCTCTTGCATTTAGTGATTTGTAATTTGTTGGAGGTTTATTATTACCTGACGGAATTTATTTTAATCCATTATTATCACAATATATTTAAATAGTTTCCAAAAAAAATGTATATAATACAATACATACATGAATTTTCTGTTGGCTCTATTAGATTTTTATTTGTTGTTTGGTTCATTGAATGTTGACTACTCTTCCTCTTAATAGCTTTTGTCTTTGTTTGACTTTCCTCTTCTTCCTCAGAAGAAGAATTGGAAGAGGAAGAAAGAAAACGATATGGTTTTTGAATTGCACGTTTTTGTGAAACCTCAGTATTTTTCTTTTTTGTCACTTCCGCAAGTTTTCATCATTCGTTGAAATATCTAAAGTATTGTTCTCAACTTCTCTCGCTTCTTTGAAAGTATCTTTATATCAAATATAAAATAAATATTTAATTTCTATAAGTTACATATATTGGAAAGAAATATTTATCAATTACATACCGAAAGGTCCTAATAATTTGGAATATGGAACTGTTATCCACTTTTCTTGAGGCTTTGTTCCTCTTTTACTTTCATTAGTAGCATTCTTATTTTTGGGTGGCCATTTAAAAACTTGAGACTTTAAGATAATTCAAGAATCCGGTATTGTAGCGGTATTGTACCATTCCGGTATTGTACCATTCATCCCAAAAAACAACAAAATACGAGTACATGTCTGAAAATTAAATTTTATGTATTTTATTAGTTTTATGTGTAAATAATATTTAAATTATTAATTAGGTCTGAATTACTTTAATTAGACTTATATTTATCTCAATTATTTATGTTTGAATTACTTTAATTAGACTTATATTTATCTCAATTATTTATGTTTGTTTTCAAAATAACAATAAATAATATTCAAGGCCAACATACCGCAGTATAATTCCTAGGTTAATTAATCAAAATCATCAAATCCGAAGATATCTTTTCCATCCTAACGTAAAATAAATAAGTGTTAGCAAAATTTGTCACAAAGTATTAAAACACGTTTATGAATAATATATACAATACTTATACGAACTGATTACAATGGGAAATATACAAAATAATGTTCACGAACCCTTCGGTCAGTAAGCTTATTGTTCACCGAATGTTAAACAAGGATAAGCAATAAATCATGCGCATTCATACATGAAACGGAACGCAGCCTATGGGTGCATTTGAGGAGACACTATTCGCGGCGCGAATTTTGACGCTATTTATCGCTATCAGCTGTTTGCGGAGCTAGCTAATAGCGCTATTAAACGCAATAATGACAATTTATGGTAGATGGTAATTAATTATATACATTTTTTATTTTTGTAGATGATATGTCATCTTTTCAGGAGCAATAATACAAGATTTAAATAGGTTACAGTTCTAAGATCTATTCTTTTCAGCTGCACTTGTTGCAGTATTAATCTTTCCTCCTTTTCTCTCCAACGTAGAGAAAAAAGAATGTAGTTGTAATGAAAACATTACTGATATTTCATACTAATGTTTAATGGAAAAATTATAAATGATATAAAATCATAAAATATATTTGACATGATATTCACTAAATTTATAAAAAATAAAAATATAAAGTGTAAGGCTATAAAAGTATAAAATATACTTTTATATAAACTATAAAATTTACTTATAAACTATTTATAAAAACTATTATTACTATTATAAAAGCTATTATAAAAATTATTAATTATAAAATATTATTTATAAAATATTCATATTAATATAATTATATACATTATAATAATATATTATATAATAAATATTAGAAAATATTTTTTTATATTTTTGATACTTATGTAAGAATTCATACATGTTATATTTTTTATACTGCTGTATGTATAAGAGGTAAAAAACAATATGATTTTCCATATGGAACACATACAGCTTTTGTACAAACATCATCAGAATTAAAAGTTTGTATATTTGACCATGTATTTCCTACAACAATGTTAAACTGTAATGAACTTATAGGATAATTCTCAAGCTCAACTGGATTTAATAAAGTTTTTCCTTTTAAAATTATGTTGTTATTATAAATACAAATATTTGTTATGGACAGAATATTATTATTTTTTAAATAACAAAATCTATTATTAATTTTCTTGAAAGTATGAAATCTTTATAAACAATATTGTCGAATGAATCTATTCTTGTTTCCGCGGACTTTTTGGCATTAAAATTTTTTACTTGTGGTTTTAAAATTGTGTCTATTTTTTTACAAAAATTGCAATTAGCTCGTTCAACAATTCTATTAAACAATTGTTGTAATGGTTTATCACCTTTTTTTAATTGTTTCTTTATACTAAATAAGAAACTTTCAAAAGGAAATCTGCTGAAAGAATCTAAGTTGCCAAATTTTGCAACATCATTAGATAAATGAATTAAATTGTGAATATTATTATATAAATCATGAATTCTTCTCCATATAGATGTTGACATGTTTTTACAAAATAAATTAATAAATCTTTAGCATATTCATTATTATTGATAATACAATCTGTTTTATGGCATAAGATTCTAATTGCACAATGCAATGCGTTAAAATGTATCATATATTTATCAGATAAATAATTTTGTAATATAACAGGACCTATATATAATAAAAATAGTCGTAACTCAGTAGCTTTCCACCGATCAATTTCATCTAAGCTGCGGGTTTTTCGTGCAAATTCTGCTGGAATCCATTTTGAAATACGTTTTAAACTTGCAAATATTTTTTTTATCATATTTGCACTAAACTTAACAGACTTAAACTGTCCTTTAACAAAAAGTTGTAACATTTTTTTTACGACAGCAAGACAAACAAGATGCATATAATCGAGGGGAAATTGACTGATCATTCCTAAGTTTACTTGTTCAAAAATAAATGTTCCATTGTGATGATCTTCATTTTTCCTTTCAATGAAGTTTTCATCAGTTCTTAATTCTGCATTGAGATCAAGAAATACCATTCTATAAGAGATGTATTTACCTCGTTGTATGCATTTTGAACAGCCAAAGTAACCATTAAATCCTTTTGTACATGTTACAAAAGATCGAGCTGGTGTATCACAAATGACCGCCCTAATTGTTACTTTAAATTGTAAATTTCCATCAAACTGGAAACCCTCATCATGTAATGTTTTATATTCTTTAATAAAATCTTCAAGAAATATATTAGGACATTCTGGCTTATTATATCCATGATAAGTACCAATAATAAATGGTTCAGCAATTACTGGATAAATTTGACCTAATATTGGATATAATTGACTTTTAGAACTTTTCGCCAATGGTTAGGAATCCATCTATATTAATATTTATTTGAATATCATGAGATACTTTATTTATATCCAAAGCTTTCAAATGATCAATTAAGGCGTTCTTTAAACCGTAATGGAAATATTGATCTGGCGATACATCGCGTAACATAACATTGTTTGGTATATGCAAAAGTGTACGTGAATCCAATGGAAGATTTTGTAACTCGCTAATATTTTCAACATTTTTTAAAACTTTTAATAAAGCTCCTGTTGCTTTGTGACTGATGTTAAATCGACATACATTGCATTAATTCTTTTTTAAAAATTTAATTCTGTTTTTTTTGTATTAATTACTTTGTATGAACATAGTTCAGTGTCCATTTCATTACTTAATACTACTTCATGTACATGACATTCATTTTTATGATCACAAACTTCTGTTTCAATAACCGAATAATTGTCTTGTAATATATTTTCTTGTGGTGGATACACATTATCATTACTACTTTTTTTATTTGAACTGCACGTTAAATTGCAGATTTTACGAACAAGTCTCCGATTCCTTTGACTTTTAGATAAATTTCTAAACGCTTTTCGTTCAGACATCTAAAATATATTAATCTAAAAGTTTGCGGTATCTATAGGTGTATTATTTTCATTCATTATAACCTAATAGAGGATTAATTATTAATTTATTCTAAGATTAATATTAGTATATCAGTTAATGTTTTACTTACTGCGAAACATACCGTTGTATTTTTTATTATATTGCACTCACTTATTAAAAGCATTAAATGTCTATTCACTTCTAAGCACTAAATTTCTATTGTATTGTACTATCAATAAAAATGTATTTTTATTAGCACTAGTACATACAATTTTTTAGGTTAAACCTGCCTCTTGAATATGTTATTTTTATGGCTGCGGTCAAGACTGCATTACGAATGCTCCGAAACATCATTCTATCTTTATTCTCATAGAATATAGAACAAAGATAGAATGATGTTTCAAAGCATCCAGAGCGTCTTCTCGACCGCAGCCTATGATATCTTCTGAAACATTAAATGGATCTCTCATTAAAGATATCATAATTTTGTCTGGTTTCTGAGCTGTCCATATAACAGCGCATGTGCATTTGAAGGCTCAGAAACCATACAACATAATGATATCTTTTATGAGAGATCAAACTGATATCATTTAGCATGATATCAAAAAGATAACAATTTCAAGAAATCTCTCAAATGAGATATCTTAAAGAGTTCTCTTAGTAGATGCCTCTGGTAAATGATGATTATGAGATACCATTTGGATATCATTTTCAAGATAACTAAATGTTTTCCTCAAGAAGTTCTCCTAAAGTTTTCATTCTGACAAGCGTGTTATCTGGGTTATTTCGAAAATCACAAAACGGAAAATTTTTCTATTCGGTTTAATCTATTTACCTAACAGAGACGATTCAGTTATCTGAACATTCTATATACAGAATGTCTAACATAAAAATCTCTATCAAAAACATGCAAGTAATTCTCGTTAAACTCAATTAAAACGTCCTTTATCATTTTGTAAACAATCACGTAAAATTTTGACATATTAATTAAAGAAGATCTTAAGTAACATATAATATGGTAAAGTGTAAGAGGTTCAATCTATCACGCTGTAGATAGAGGTTCAGTACAAGTCCGTTAAAAAAGTCTCCAAACCATGATAACAGCTCGTAGCAAAACAGCGTGACACGTTTGATGAGAGCTCCTCTCACCGCTCCTCTGTGCGCATAGTATCAGGTTACAATGTTACGGCTTTCATCGCCGCGCACTTATACTTTGGCAAATTTATTAAAATAAATATTTCAAAATTTCGCGTGATTATTTGCAAAATGATATAGAACTTTTTGATTTAGTTTTACACTTCACGAGATTTACTTATAGATTTTCGATGATTACTTTATATCATATACCTTGTATATACAAAAGAACATGTTTTAAGATATTTTTTTCTTTTATACATTTAGTCGCATCTTAGGTACAACATATCGGAAACCTTGTTTACAGAATGATAAATATAATATTATCAATTTTGTAGTATTTGTATACGTTGAAATAAAAATATTGGTTGGAAACTGTCTTTAAATTATACAATTGATCTAAATGAAATGTCCTCAAATTAAACATTTTATCTCAATATACTTTTAAGGAATATTTTTAAATCTCAAATTAAACGTTTTACGCAAATGTTTTTCAAGTTTCAAACAGTGTTAGTACTAATTTCTTTTATTGGACGTATTTTTTGAGTCCATTCGGAAGAAAAATTCAATATTGTGAATTTTTAATTGCAATTCATAAAACTTTAAGACAACTTTTTTATAATTAAATATATTAGTCCAAAAATGCTTTAAAAATTTAGTTCTTAGAAATCATAAAAGATTTGCATTATTATTTTTCATAAAAATCATCTTTTAAAAATTCATGTCAACGTATAGTTTTAAATATTATATATTCCGAATAAATATTACATACTCTTTTAGGACAGACTATTGTAATTATATTTCTTCTCAATTGCGATTTTTTTCACGTACATATTCATATGTATATACATTATCTGTTCATATGTACACATATTATTATTATATATATAATATATATATTAATTGTAAAGAATGCTGTGTACGCATATATTTATTTAAAATTATATTTATTTAAAAACATATATTTCAAATTCTACGTTGACATGTAATAAATTCTTTAAAAACTACTTGTTATAAAAGATAATAATGCCAAATTTTATTTAATGTTATTTTGTGATAATTATATATTTTTGAATATTTGTAAAATAAATATTTAATTATAAAGAAATTGTTTTACAGTTTTATAAATGTATAATTCAAAATATTTAATTTTTTTAAAGTGGGTTGAAGAAATGCTTTTGACAAAAAGAAATTAATTTTAAAAGTTAAATAAATTTGGAGTATGCCTAAATAACATTGGATTAAATTTGTTTTGGAATATAAAATATATCTTAGAAGTATATTGGGATAAAATGTTTACCCACAGGGCACAAAATACTAAAAGACGACAAAAAGATGTCTTTTTCTAAGTCGACTTTTGGACATGGCGAAAAAGATGTCTTATAGATGTCTTTTCGTCATGTCGAAAAAACGACTAAAAAAGACGTCCTTTCGTCGACCTTTTAAAAGTCTAGAATTTGTACGTCCAAAAAGATAACTTAAAAAGACGACGAAAAGATGTC